ACCAACGACCCGTTTTAGCTTGTGAGGACTAGAGAAAAATGGTGAGTATATGGGAATAATGATATAATCCTAAATAAAATATTTAAATCATATGTCAAAAATATCATACCGTCATCATATCTTTAACGACCGGTAAAAGCTCAATATAATTTCTTTGGCATCGGACGGCCATATCATACACATCATATCATATCTTTCACTTTCATTAGTATAATATTTTGACAATACGGAAAAATAACTTAAATAGGACCAAAACAATTGCACCACGTTATTCTACCTCGTTAGATTAAATAAATTTTAAGAGAGACGGTTTTATTTTCAACCTGTTGGTGTGTTTATAAAAATTATATAGCATGGTGAAAGAAATATGACTTTTTTTCTACGTGAAAATCAGTTGCATAAATGAATAAATATAAGACAAGTGTCGTATAACAAGTTGAAGTTCAATTTACCCAAAACTTCCATTCAATTCAACTAAAACGTCCCATTTTCGCTCAATCTCAACAACCATCACGTGGCTGCCCATTTTCACAAGTCAAACTAAAGCAATAAAATAATATTTAATAACAACTTATTTAGGTTTTGTTTGATTCTCATTTTTCTCAAAATACATTTTTCTCTTTCTTCTTTTCTATCACACATTATTCATTAAAATAATGTTACATGTAAATAAAAAAAATCCTTATTTTTCAACCACATATTTCTCATCAATTTGTTATTTTAAAATGCATTTTTTTCGTAAAAATGGGGCTCAAACACCCTATGAACTTCAATTACTCAGGTTTCATTTATCCGAATTAATTTTTTCTCAAGCCTAATATGCATGATTAATTACGAACTATCCAACAAGCCCGATATTGATATACTTATCTTCGTTCTATCGAAATCTAAATATTTGACCCAGTCCCTAACTTTTCAAAATATTAAAAATATAGTATATAAAATAATTAATTCTATTTTACGAAAAATTTCGAGACTTTACAATCTCCTCTTCTTAAATATTTTTGTCCTCAAAAATTACATTGGCTAATCGAAAAGTTCTGAATAATTGGTTTTAAACTTCTCATCCTTAAGGAAAAATAATCTCATTTATGTCAATCTTCTATGCATCATAGTATAATTTTATTATGGTCCATATCAGGACAAGTCATCTATTTACCCAAGCATTAAGCCAAACATATCATGCTTACATTCTTATCATGGTAACATAATGTATTTTGAGCTCGTATATACAAACAAAGGAATTATACTTTACTTGAGATATAAATCATAAATTTAGCAAGAAAAAATGTTCATGTCATGAAATAAACAAGGAGGTAAGTAGAAAAAATAAAGTTACACAAAATATTTGAACAGTTATTTCTCTCCTTACCCTATTACATACCTTAGAGTTGTCGAAAGGTGGTCAATCGATGGTCATTGAGTGTCAAAGACCATTCAAATTCTTACATATTTTAGAACTTTAAAAATTTACATCATCTTTGAATTTATACGATCTTGAACTTTTTTTTCAAATACCACATAAAGCTAAGGCTAAGCACATAGATATTTATTACACGTATTATTTAAAACATGAAAATTCAGTATTAATATCAAAATTCTTTTTCATCCTTTTATGTAATAAAATAAAAATTACTATTATTTCAACACTGTTCACATAACTTTTTGTTATATATAGAGCTAAAAGCGAAAATATGTATAGTCTAAAATATGGGCAATAACAAAATAACAATTTAAATCTAAACCATTATCAATTTAAAATCCATCCAAAAATTATTATTTAAAATTATTATTTAAATCAATTTTAATAATAAAAACACATAAACATTTAATATCAAACTTTGAAAAAAATAAAATTTGTCATCTAATTTTTTTATTTTTTTTTATTTTTGGTTACACAATTTGTTTTAACTTTTAGAATCTATAAGAATCTACGGAAAAGTAAAACCTAAGATCTGATACCAAATTGTAATGACCCAAATTTTAAAGATTTAAATCGTTAAGAAAAGTTTTACTTTAAATTTTAATAACATGACATGAAATATGTATAAAATTACATAACGGTAATTTACTCAAATTCACGTAGAAAATTTTATATATTCGTTTATAAAAGGAAAGAACGAAGATTTTTCTACCCCATATTTTATTCATATCGTAATTAGATATACAAATCAAACATCACAAAATGAAATTTTTAGTTTCACTAAAAATAAAAAAAACATATAGAAAGTATAACCAAATAAAATATGTTCAAAATCCTAAATAATAAAATCCACATGATAATAAAACTAAAATAATGCTGAAAATAAAATTCGAAGTCACATTACACCGAATTTAATTTATTGAGTTCCATAAATCCTGGTATCACGACTGCAACGCCAACCAACCAACGACTCGTTCTAACTTTTGAGGAGTGGGGAAAATGGTGAGTACATGATAATAAAATGATGCAATCTTGAATAAAATATATAATTATGTGTCAAAAATATCATATCATCATCATATCTTTAAGGACCAGTAAGAGCTCAATACATATCATATCTTTGGTACCGAATGACCATATCATATCTTTGATTTTCATAAGTATAATATTTCGACGACATGGAAAGATAATTTAAAGTGGACAAAAAATCCCCTCCTTGATATCCTACGTCATTAGATCAAATAAATTTTTAGAGAGATGAAACCAAAATCATGGTCCAACTTTATTTTCAATCTGTTGCTGTGTTTATAGAAATTATATAGTATGGTGAAAGAAATATGAATTTTTTTTCCACGTGGAAATCGGTTGCATAAATGAATAAATATAGGACAAGTGTCTTATAATAAGTGGAAGTCCAATTTACCCAAAACTTCTATCCAATTCAAATAAAACATCCCATTTTAGCCCCTCGGGGCACAGCTCAACTGGTGGATCAATCAACATTGGCTTACTTCCAGCGGCAGGGTGGAGAGTTTAATTCCTGGTGGGAACCTGCGGCTAAATATTTGGTATGGAACAATCATTGTGGAGGAGGTCTCTTATGCGCAGAAGTGTACAGTCAATGGGGGGAACCTGTGATCCAGTTGAGGCATAACCCACGATTTACCCCCTCCAAGGTTCTAGGGGCATGGGTCTTGGAGGTCCAAAATTTAGTTTGGTGTAAACTGAGATACCTGGATATTAAAAAAAAAAAAAATCCCATTTTAACTCAATCTCAACAACCATCACGTGGCCACCCACTTTCATAAGTCAAACAAAAGTAATAAAATAACATTTAATAATAACTTCTTTAAACTTCATTAACTCGGGCTTAACTTACCCGAATGAACTTTTCTCGAACTTAATATGCATGATTATATATATATATATATATATATATCACTTTAGTCCCTTACTTTCCAAAATATTAAAAATATAGCATATAAAATAATTAGTTTTATTCTATAAAAAGTTTATGGACTTTACACCGTGGTACTGAATCAAAGTAAGATATGATGCTTTACGACTTTAGTAGCGTGACAGATATGTGAGATTGAAGATTGGTTAGGGCTATATGATTATTGATGAGGACGAAGGTGAACGGATCTGTAAAGGAGTGGCTACCAAAGAGGTGAAGAATATTGGAGGTGAAATGCTGTGATTGACGTCGATTTGCATTAAAGGTATGAGGTAGTGGTCTGGCGAGATTTGAGTGAGTAGAGGTAAATTTCTGGTTTGTTAGGCAGGGCGGATATGGTTTTGCAAATGATGGTGCGATGGTGGTGGTGGTATGGCGTTGGGGATAGTGGTGATGCTGGTAGAGGTGTAACTGATGGTGGTTTTTTTCAGTTGATGGAGTGGTGGTGGTATTTTCAGCGTTTTGGTAGTGTTGGAGATTTGGATGTTTCTTGTTAGTGGTGGGCAGCGGTGTTGCAGAGGGATGGGGAGTGGACTGAGTGTTTGTGACCAATTATTTGGACGTTGTGATCAATAAATTGTTAATTTCTAATGAGCAAATAATATGTGACCTTGAAGTATGCGTGACTGCGATTAAATTTATAATTGTGACCAATTTATTTAATAATTTGTGTCTGTTAAATAAGTTGTAACTTATAAAATTTGTGATAAGTGATTGATAAATAAGTTATGACTTATAAGAGTTTTTATTTTGTGATTGATGAATACATTGTCATTTATAAAAAAAAATTATTTGTGATCGAGAAATAATATGTAACATATAAAATTTTTGATTTGTGATCAATAATTTTTTTTATTTGTGATCCATAAAATTTTTGGTTTGTGATCGAAAAGTAATTTGTAACCAATTAATTCTTTACCTTAATTTATTTAATTAATAAAATATTTCATAAATAAAGTTTGATAATATTTGATTTTTAAAGTTTTAAATTTTGTTTCTTAATTTTAAAATGGGTTATAGTTAAACCTTTAAATCTGAATATTTCCCTTTGAAAAATTGCATTTTTTTCTTTCTTATTTTCAACAATATATTTTTAAATAAAATAATATTACACGTAAAATTAAATATTTTCGCTAAAAAATCACACGTTCTAAAAAAAAAAAGTTAGTATTTTAAAATGCATTTTCCCCAAAATCTATTCAAACTTGCAACGTGTATCTTAACTTTGACATTCTTGCGAATCGACAATTTTTTATACATTGATTTTAAAAATATTTTAAATAATTATTGACACAAATTTTGACAACTAACCTTCCAAAAAAATTTTGACAAGTCACAAAATGGTGCTTGAGACTTCTTTTGTGAAAAAATGCATTTTAGAATAATAAATTAATGGAGATTGTGTGATTGCAAAAATAAGAAAAGTGAATTTAAATTTAATATTATTTTAATAAAGAATGTGGAATTGTAAAAAGAAAAAAGAAAAATATATTTTGATAAAAATGAAATCGATGAAGGTCAGTCGATAACAATATCGTCTAGGAATGTATAACTAATTTACTTCAAACAGTGATGCTATTCTTCGCTTATTTATGTTCCTAAGCGAAGGGGGGAAGAACAGCCTAAATTCTCTCTCTCTATCTCTCTCTCTCTCTCTCTCTCTCTCTCTCTCTCTGTATTACACTAGGAACATATTCATCACTCCCTCGGCACCAATTTGTCTTGTGTTGCAGTGATTTCTACTCAACTTCTTCATCACCAAACTTGAAAGGTAGTGGCATCGGATTTTATTCGTGTTAAAACGAGCTATATATGTTGAAATCGACTCAATTTGTTTGTTGAGAATGATCTAATTTGAACTCAACGCCTTAATTTTATTTATTTTTCCAGAATTGTTGTTTCTTGATGGTAATCTTCCTCCAGCAACATGATTTTTCAACAATATGAGTTTTTGATACGGTTGTTTATGGTTTTCCCTTGACGTAAAAACTGACTGCCCTAGGTGAAATACCCAGGATCAAAATCCAGTGGGGGCAGTTGCCACCACTAGACCCCAGGTGGCTCCGCCCCTGGTTCCTAATGCCAAACTCGTGTCAGGTCCTATACTGTCATCTCTTTAGGTTTAGTCTGAAGGTATTCAAACGGCTGGGTGGGATGGGGTAAGGTGGGGAAAATACATCAAGGCAAAATGTCTCTCAAAATTTCAGTGTAAGCGCAAAACCCTGAGGGAGCTCGGTGGTCGGGCTTTGGATTTTTTCTTCAATGGTCAGCAGTTCAAGTTCTTCGCCATTGAGGTAAATATCCAACTGTAAACTTCAGGGCCCGTGGGATTAGTCGAGGTGCACGTAGACTGGCCAGACATCCACGATCATCTCCAAAACAAAAAAAAAATATTAATAAACAAAAATTTCAGTGTAAGCGCAAAGCAAGGTGCATGCTCCATTGAAGCGTGCCCTTCTTAATTTGCTAGAGATTTGAATTGTTATATCATGAATTTTGAAGATTGTTTATGATTTAATATGAGGTATTCTGCATTTTAATAATTCTTTGACATTTTTTGGTTTGCAGTGAGGCTTACGCCTCAAAATGCCTTGAGGCTTATGCTTCACCTCATGAAAAAATGCATAAGTACCTTGTTACACTTTTTTTAAACACTGGTCTAATTCGGTTATATATGTTGTATTAATTGGGGGCAGAAATACAAAAAAGAACAAATAATTTGTATAGCGCTCTAATTTGTTGAACTACAAAGTGAAAGATCCTATTTATTTGATTAAAAATAATGAAAGCAGTAAAGTAATATACTTGGTTTTACAATCCCGACCTCAGAGTGAGGTGAACAAAAACACCTTATACAGTGATTGTGATTTAGTTTTTGGAGTCGTACAACTTAGTTGAGTGAGGCACACACCTTGTAGCACCACCTTAATGCTTGTGAGGCATCTATGCTTTACTTTTTCAGACTGACTTACCTTGCTTTAGGTGTGGATTATGATGCACCGACACGAATATATATATCCGACATGACACGGGTTGGACATGACGTTTATTTTTTTAAAAAGTACTGACTTGACATGAATATGTCGATTAAATTCCTTAAAAATTTTCATTTATATAGTATGAATTTAGTTTTATACTATTTATTAATTTTTTTTGGTTGAAATCTTTTAATTAAGAGTGCCTATTTGTTACTTAATAACTTTAAATTAAAATATTAATATTTTTGAAAAAGAAAGAAAAATGACCATTGTAGTGTTCGATGGGTGTCGTTCGACTCGTGTTTGACATGGAGACATCATCTTAGTTGAAATATCCGTGCAACACAAGATGTGGACACACAAAGCATCAAAAAATTCTAATTCACCGACTTTGGAAACGACCCGCTAGCCCACTAAAACATTAGTGTAATTGTATTTCTTATAGACTGACTTTGGGTATATCCACCATCTCACCGACTAAAATAATAGTTTTGTCACTTTATATATTTTTCTTTTGTTTGTTTGCATTCTTTAATTTTTTATTTTTTTTATTATGAATTTCGATATTTTCATGATTTATTATATCCACATTTTGCATTTTAATTATTTTTGATATATTTATAGCTGACGGTGAGTCTTACGCCTCGGAACGTACACCTTGCTTTACAAAGGGTAGCCTATTATGGTTGGACTTGAGCTCTTCAACCATTGGACCAGATATATATATGAATGGATAAATAAAGATCAAGAATACACACCAATGGGTGGATGTGGAAAAACCTTATGAATTTTATTTATTCTTAAATATTTACTTCTTGTTAACCCTGAGAGGTAACTCAACGGTTAGACATTGTGTTTGTTCTCCAATGGTCACCAGTTTGAGTCCCCTCAGGGTCACTAAGGTGAGTACCCGACTATAAACTTTTGGACCCCGTGGAATTAGTCGAGGTGCATATATATATATATATATATATTTATTTATTTATTTATTTATTTACTTACTTCTTGTCTTTTAACCATAAAAAGATACATGTTTCGATTCGTGGTTGCTCGCTCTCCCATATTTCTAATGAAATAGAGAAACATTTTTTTATGTGTTTAAGTTGAATTATAAGTACATAAATACATACATTTTTCATGTTTTTAACTGTAAGTGTATAGATGAGGTCATTAAATACAAAACAAAGCTAGCAAAATTTTGGGTTGAGTCTCATCACCATCTTTTTATGTAAATTCTATATGTTAGGTCTTTGGCTAAGATATGAACCTGACCCGGTGTGTTCAAGATATAAGTATAAAGAAATCAATAAATTCCTGTCCCCTCTAACGGCATAAGGTTTTTGATACTGTGGTTCAATCTGATACTAGGGCAGGCAGTTGTTCTGTGTCCAAGCCTAACATTCCCTCATTTATGTAAATTCCACCTGTTAGCCCTTTGATGGAGAAATTAATTTCTCCTGTAAAAGGATGTATTAAAGATGAAAATAAGAACTTCCTAATCTGGATATATATTCCACTTTAGTCTACATCTGAAATTGGGAAAGCATTGTCCTGGTCTTTAGTGCTTCTATCCACCTTTCTTTTAAATCTTGCTTGCTTCATTTTTATCATTTTTTATTATAATGAAGTAAAGATGCAAGGTTTCTTCGATAATTTTGATACTCACTGGCTCTTCCTTTAATTACTTTCCAGTCCAGCTCCTGAAATGAGTTCTACTAAAATCACCATTAGCGGCGATGATGGTCCTGGAGAGATGCATGTGAAGTTGGAGCCAGATTTGATTGGAAAATCAATGCAACAGCAGTCCCCCAAAACTGATTTATCTCCTTATCAGGGATCAAATAGAAGTTTTATGGGGCATGAATCTGAAGAGATTAGAAATTCGAGGGCTCTAAGTACTCCATATAGTGGCAAAAGTGTCTTGGACCCAGAGCTGTCTCCAGATGATGATTCAAGCCTTTGCTCCACCTCACCTATATGCCCAGCACCCCTCTGTCGGCAGTTCTGGAAAGCTGGAAACTACGATGACAGGCTCGCTTCTAAGTCAACCCTTCAAAGTATTGTGCTCTCGAATAATTAATGTTGTTCTCTATTGAAAATGCAGATGCCTTGTCATCATCTTGACATTTACTTTTTTAACTTCAAATTTACGTGTTCCAAAACTCAATTGAAAGCTTAACTTTTTGCAAGTTGTCTACCATAAAATCCAGGCCAATTAGTCTCTTAATTGACAGCAATTATTGTAGATTGTTGGTGCTGTTTATTGTATCTGACAATATGCTCTTTGATTGACAGATGGCACAAGTTATCTTCACATTCATCCCAAATTTCTCCATTCAAATGCCACTTCACATAAATGGGCCTTTGGTGGTATGTACAGCTCATGCTTTCAATTATCTTAGCCTCTGTTGGAAAGAATTTATAAACAGTTTAGTTTATAAATACAAAAGAGTAGTGGATAAGTGAATTGTACTTGTAGTTCCATTGGAATGTATGATTAAAATTGAAGTTTGACTATGTATAATTTGATCTATAAAGTTTGCCAAACAGAGGCTTAGTGTTGCTGTATTCTATTCTGTCTGGCTTATCTCTGACATCTACATATAGCATTTTGCTGCTAGTACACCCAACAGATTCTAATTCTACTTCTTGTCCCATTTTACCAGCCATTGCTGAGCTGCTTGATAATGCTATTGACGAGGTAATTTTTGGCTGAAGTTCATTAATTCCCCATTGTTTTTTTCTTTGTTCTGAAAGGAAAGGGTCTGAATCTGTGAACATTTTAGATCATTCTTGTTTTCCCATCATTTTATCTGGGTCCAGGTTGTTGAAATTATTGGTGCATAGCTTCATTATTGCTCTTCTGTATCACTACCGATGAAGTAAATATGTAATGTAAAATTCAACTTTTAGTTTCTTTAGTTTGCTTTCTAAAACAGAAAACGTGTCTCATTATTAATATTTGGTTGACTGCATCTTGATTTATTTTTACTCATTTTGGTTAAAATCTCTTTGTTAAGATGGAAAAGGAGGGTCGATCTGCAAATGGCACTGAATGAGAAGTAAGAAGACAAGTATGAAAAATATCTGAAGATCATCCGCTCACTTTGTTAGCTCTAGATCTACATGTCATTCAATAAAAAAGTACTGTACATTAGAATCATTTTAGGTCGTGAATTGATTTTAAATTTCACATAAAGAGTCTTGGAGCATATCGAATTTAAATTTCACATAAAAAGTCTTGGAGCATTTGAAGGTTATAAGCGTAATGGTGGCGAGGAATATTCAGATACTTCTGTATATGGCACTTAAGTCATTATATGTTTGAAATTAATATTTGGTATTTCATCTTTTATATATTGGTAGATTCAAAATGGGGCAACGTTTGTCATTATAGATAAAGCATTAAATCCAAGGGATGGAAATCCGGCTTTGTTAATTCAAGGTATTCCATCTTTAGTTTACGCTTCTGGTTGGCATTCAGTACTTAGCACAATCTGTTAGCTGGTTATTCTTAAAATTGGTGATATTCTGTTAGATGATGGTGGTGGAATGGACCCAGAAGCAATGCGGCGTTGCCTGAGTTTTGGATTTTCAGATAAGAACTCGAAAACTGCTATTGGACAGTGTAAGAATAAAAATATTATTTTGCAATTTCTTTAGTTTTTACATTGGTTGGTGAGGAGTTGACTTGTGACCTTTCAGATGGAAATGGGTTTAAGACCAGTTCTATGAGACTTGGGGCAGATGTTGTTGTCTTCAGCCGCCGCGCCAAGAACAGGTTCCCCAGAATGAGTTTGAAAGTAAACGTTTTAAAATAATGATAGACAAAAAGAGGTTTAGGAAGCTCTTCTATAAAAAACAGAACCAAAAGTAGAATTTGTCAAATGAGTCCTAAACTTTAATTTATTATCACGACCACTTAAGTATACCTCTTCTGTGCATTTAGAGAAGTTTTTGTTCGGAAAAGTAATGTTATTTTGTTTCGCCAAAACAAATTATGACTAACAAAAATAAAGCACAAAAAGATTACCCATTAAAAAAAAAGGAGTTTATTTCAATGCCGTTTTCATAGGGGCAAAATTTAGCAAATGATAATAAAAGGGTCTCCCCCCCCCCCCCCCCCCCACAACACTGTTAATGCTTGCTAGTTTGATTGGCTGTACTTTTTAAGCTCTTTTGTGTAATTCTGTAAATACATATGGCTGTCTCTTTATGCATACTTAATGAAGTAAGTCTGAGATATACACGTAGGTACTGAAGTTTCAATGTAGCTCATCCCATTCTCAAAGGTGAGAAGGGCATCGGTGATATGTTAAGTCAAATTTTGTTATCTCGTTTGTTATCAGAAAATAAAAATCAAATTAGACAAGGCTAGTAACATAAAAATTCATCTACGTTTATTTTTTCTTTTAACGTTTCGTTTTTCCAGTCATGATTCCATTGCATTAAAAACACCAAACTCCATCTCTCCTCTCAACATCTTTAGGAAGTGTCACTGTAAGTTTATTTATTTATTTATTTATTTATTTATTTACTCTGGCCAGGTTAGGGCCTTCACATTGCAGCAATAATTAGAGCATGTTTCAATTAGCTTATTGTTAAATAGTAAGCCCAACTTTTTGGATTTTTTGTAGGTCAATTGCTACTGTCATGAATAGCCACAAGAAGCCAAAAAATTGTGCTTATTATTTAGCAATAAGCTAATAAGAGAATATGATCTAAAAGAGCTGCAAAGGTTCTTCTTTCCTTTTTTCTATACTTTAGTACAAATGCCAAACGAGACTCTCAGGCTGTGGAATGTACGCCTCCAAAAAATTATGATAATGATAAAAGAAACTGCTGAGACATGTTTGAAGTCCTGTTATTGGATTCCATTAAGTAGGCTTGGTCATGGACCTGAAGCATAGGGTCAGCGGGTCAATGGTTCCCGGCAATTCAGTTTGTGATCTGACATTTAAACAAAATGATTTTATAAACTAAAAAGAGACATTTAACAGGAACTTTGAAAGTTTATGTGGATGAGTGAATCTTAATATAAAATTCATTTAGCAATTGGAATATTAAAAAATTTCTCTCTTTTAATAATTAAATGTATTTTTTAATAATGTTTTCTTAAAATTATACAGTTTTTTTTTTATATATTGATATATATTCCAGAGCGTAGCATCATTAAGGCAGCCAAGTGGAAACAATTACTGCCTTTCAAATTGAAGGTCCTGGGTTTGAAACCGTGTTATCGAATGCCATGTTGTATCATTTTGGAATATTGAATAAATGGCTTAGAATTGGTTCACCTATTCAAAGCGATCAGCTTATACAAAATCTCGCTTGATCACCTGGGTTTTGACCATCCATTTGTAAAACAGTCCAATAGCTCATCTATACCAGATTCCATGACCGGTTCACGGTTCCCTGGCTGGACCAGCTGGTCCAGTCCGGTTCTGATAACTATGTTTCTTTCCTTTGGAAGATAGACATCAAAAAAATCCATGGACCGGTTGTACTCCCTTTTCATCGAAGAACAAAGTTTTAGGATTCCCATCATTTGCTTCAATCAAGATTGGAAAGCTTAAAGTTTTGCATTTAAGAATACTGAAGCTTATGAATTCTAGATAAAGAAATTAATATGATATTTTTACATTTTTCAGAATCACAAGTTACAGTGGAAACATTAGTCAATAAGCTATTTACTCCATGTAATCGCATAAAAGACTTGCAACTTGATGGAATTTTATTTAGAGGGAACGTAGTCCGTAGTTGATTTATTACAGAACCTGTTTCTATGTCTCCTCCATGTAGCTTGATTGTTATATTCTTCTGAAAGTAGCATGTAAATAATCATCTGTGTCTTGCAATATATTGTACTCTTATCGAAAGCAAATTCTTAATGTTTTCATTATTTTTCTTCACATAATATGCATATATATTTCTCATTGTCATTTTGCTTCTATATTTTGTCTTGTATTTTTCTATTTTAAAATGGTTTAGTGAAATAATAATTACAAATGAGATTATATACTTCTATCTGCCGTTCTTAATTCATTTTCCCAATGAATGTCATTCTTCATTCCCTTCTTACTTTCAAGAAGACCTTACTGATATTATAATTTCTTTTCTTTTTGTCCAGGAAATTGACACAAAGCATTGGTCTTCTATCATATACATTTTTAATGCAAGCAAAGTACGACAGAATAGTGGTCCCTATGGTGAGTTCTGAATTTTTAGGTCTAATTCTCTAGTTAGATCTACATGCTTTCATGTGCTCTTGTTCTTTTTGCTGCAGTGGTTTTCTCTAGTAGTAAAGCCTGGCTCAGTTATTGAATAGAAAAGGAAGATTACTAACCTGTTAATCTCTTAGTTTATCTGTAGAGTTTCCAGTATACTCTAGTATATTTACTTGTGCTGCTGATGCTTCATTTGCACTTCATTTGGGCATATTGACGTGATTGTGTATTAACTTCACGGTGCCAGGAGACACGTTTGTTCTAACTTGACCGTCCAGTAGAATGTAATGTGAAATTTCAAATAATAGCATGTTTTGTAGGGTGGATTACATAGCCCTTAACAGCAGAAAAAAAAATGCTAAAATTTAGTTAATTACAGTGTCCAATTTTTATCGGTACTGCATTCGAAAAATGCACTTAACGTGCAGAAGTTGCTCAACATTTGTGTCTTTTGAGTTCCACTCTTTGGAGGTGCAAAAATAATTTTAATTATTTAATTGAGCCTATGTTTGGGAGCGATTTTTCCAAGTGAAAGATGACTTCTTAGAGAATCTGTGGTTAAAAAATGGGGAAAAGTAATTTAATTTCATAGAATGTGTGGTTGAAAATGATTTTAGGAAGAAATGACTCTTAAAAAATCTCTCCTAAACAAGCTCCGAATCGAGTGAGTTCAAATGTTTTCAATAATTTTCTGTGAATTATGATAAACAACTTCATTCTCTCACTTTTTTAATGGTATCATTAATATCTGTAATGTAATGGTTAAATCTTTTGCTTTTAGATCAATGCATGTGCCAGGCACCTTCTTTAAGGTCTCTGCTTATGTTCATATTCTTGCAGGTTGACTATGAATTCAACAAACAAACTGGCACATGGAATTCATTACACAGTGAACAACATCTTAAGAATAACCTTTCCATATTGTTGCAGTGGTCTCCATTTTCTTCAGAAGCGGAACTTCTGAAGCAAGTATGTGAAACCTTCGGGAGCTAGTTTTTTCCCCTGTTTACCTGTTCTTGTATGGACGTATTACTTTTCTATGAACCATGTTATTTACTGGATGCTGTGGCCACCGAATTTTATATTATTATCTTCTAACACCCACTCTCTCCTCTGTTGTTCAGTGTGATGATGTTGGCCATCATGGCACCAAGATACTAGTCTACAATTTATGGCATAATGATGAAGGGAAAATGGAGCTCGATTTTGAGTCAGATCCTGAGGTTTGTATTTACTCTTTATGGAGCTTTGATGATAGGATGTGCTTCAGTACTAGTTTCTGATTATGTGTTTCATGTGAACCAATGGACTCAGGATATTTGTATTTCTGGGAAGGCGAAAAATACTGAAAAAGTGGGCACTCGCAAGGCCATTAACGAACAGCACCTTGCTAACCGTCTTCCCTATTCACTCCGTGTAAGTTTGCGACTTTGGGGGTTTATTATTTCGCCTCTTATATAAACGTAAAGATATATTAGAGCTCTGCTAACGGTTTATTCCTTGTATTCCGCAGGCATATTTATCTGTATTGTACTTGCGAGTTCCAGAGAACTTTTGCATACTTTTGCGTGGACGAGTTGTTGAGTATCATAACATTGCTAAGGATCTCAAATTTCCAGAGTTTATACTATACAGACCTCAGAATGTGGAGGTTGAGAGAATTTTTAGTACTCTCATGTTGGATACATGGCATAGATAATAAATAAGCTACATTTTATATACACAATGACAGAGATATGCCCTTGCGCGAAGTGACTTGCTATCACTGATGCACATATTCAGTAGTGTAATCTAAAAAATTCATGTCTAATTAACTGCCAATTTTGTTTACCTGATTACTATGTCAACCCTTTTAGCTAGCTGTTAACCTATTATGCGATGCAAATTTTGAGAGTATCATTTTCACTTTGCTGATTTGCAGGGTTCAGTAATTACGACAATTGGATTTATAAAGGAAGCTCCAAATGTAAATATTCATGGTTTTAATATCTACCACAAGAATCGATTAATACTGGTGACTACTTTATCTGAATTCGTTAGACTTCTGTACTTTGGTAGCAGATGAAACTTTAATATTTGTTCACTTCTCATAGTTTTTCTTGCTCTGTCCAAGGGAAATTAGCCATTTGGTAGTTACTGTTAGATTTTAAAGAAAGTGTCTTGATGTAACAATAAAATTGTAAAGTTTCCAGTCAATCCAGACATGTCAATATGTATTCCTACTAATTGCTCTCACTTTGCCTTAAATGCTTTGCTTGCTATCCATCCTACAACCCGCTAAACTGGTAGTAATGATAGCAGTGTGATAATCAATAATTATGAAGACTGTTTTATGACTCGTGAATCCATTTGGTATAATTCCTTGATGTTGAATAGATGTATTTGTCCCCCTAGATATGCAAGTTAAGTTTTCAGACAGTAATTTTTCTTGCATGCTTCCACTTAAGCCAGTATGATTTCTGTACGATAAATAGCTAGAAATGACCTCAGCGATCTATGAAACTTTTGTTAATTCTTTATGTTACATGCTGTGTGAATAACGGATCTTATTATGCTTTTAACATAATTTTGTTTTGAAGTTAAAGATAATTTTAATAATGACATAATGTGGATAATGATAATCTTTTCAAGTTTCATGCGGTTAACTCTTTCCGAAAGTGTCAAAAAATGTGTTTTTTCCCTCTTTGGTCTCTCGCCCTCCCTCCCAACACCCCCACGCTAAAACCAAATAAACAATATGTTTCACCATTTTATGTTTTCTACTGACCACCTCTTACATCTTGCATCTCTGTTCTGGTCGCTTTGCAGCCATTTTGGCACGTTGTAAGCTATTCCTGCAACAGAGGCAAAGGGGTTGTGGGTAAGAAATCCATATAATGTTGCATTTGATATTTTTATCCTGAATTGTCTTTAGTTGGTGTTAAGTGAGATGCTACTGGGCATGACAGGAGTTCTGGAAGCAAATTTTATTGAGCCGACTCACAGTAAACAAGACTTTGAGAAGACACCAGTTTTCCAAAAGCTTGAAACTCGTCTGAAAGAAATGACACAAGAATACTGGTAAGTGATTTGTTTACGTGGAATAACTTCTTGACTAATCAATGGGACTCTTGGACAAGCAATGATACGAAATTTGTAAGCCATTTATATGATTTTTGTCCCATTCATATTTTCTTGATGAGCAAGGAAGTAGGATTATTCCTCCTTGTCTCCTTCACAAGTAATATTGTGCATTCCAATTAGAGTAATACCTGAGGCTGTATCCTTACGTTGAGGACTTCTATTATTTGTTTACTCTACGCTTTATATGATTTGACATTATGCTGATAAGCAATATTGAAGCCTGACAGGGATTATCATTGTGGCCTCATTGGTTATCATCAAGTTAAAAAAAATCCTCCTGCAACAATGACTTCAAATGGTTCTTTTAATTCTAGACAAGATAGTGGTATGTTTCAACCCGTTGTGTTGAGTAGGGACTCCCCAGGTTCATTTCATCAAAATTCACTAGGTAAAAACTCATTAAGATGCTGAAACCTAAATTTAATCCTTAAAAATTTTGCTACTTTGATATCCTAAATCATATTGCACAGGTGAACCTTTAAAAAGGAAAGAACTTGATCACGCAGTAGAGCCTGGAAGGGTGAAATGGAAGGGAGTTGAGTCTAGAACAACTGCCACTGCACACAAGCAAGATGCACAGGTATTGTACTTATAATCAATCACTTTGTTTCTTCATGCCAATACCTCTCACCTGGCCACACAACCTTCAGCTCCTCTCATTCTAGCGGTTATCTATGCAAAATTAACTGAAAATAAATTAACAAAAATATCTATTTGATCTATAAAATCACATCCACGATGAATAAGCAAACACTTATTATTTCCGATCTTATAAAAACTCCACCACTTGTGTCATACCAGTCACATCCAAGGGGAACACAAGCAAATTGCTAGATACACTGAAATAAAAACCATTTATCGATTATATCATCTCGATAATATGTGCCACTGCACACAAGCAAGATGTACATGTATTGTCCTTGTAATCAATCCCTTTGTTTTTTCATGCCAATACCTCTCACCTGGCCGCACAACCATCACCTCCTATCACTTAAGTGTTTATATATGCAAATTGACTGAAAATTAGGTAACAAAATCTATTTGATGTTTATATCAGATACACAAAGAATAATCAAACACTTGATTACTTTTTATATTACGCCACTCTGTACGCCAAACAACTAGTCACATCCGAGGGAAACACAAGCAAATTACTAGTTACACCGAAATAAAAACCAATTATCGATTGAATGATTTCGATAATATGTGAACAATCATTTCTTCAATATAACATTGAAGATGACATGCAACCATCAGGACGACAAAATTGATGTTTGGTTTTTTGGACGGTGGTGACAGCATCTGATGATGTCAGCTTTTGGTGTGGGGGTAGAGAAGATGTGGTGGAGTCTGAAGGAGAAGATACGTATGGTTGACAGAGATGATGATGCAGGAGGTTAGTGAGTAGAAGAGTGAGGTGGGATTATGGACGCAGTGGATAATGGCCGGAATGATAAAAATGGCATAATTAACCTTAGAGGTTGGATCTAGCAAAAGTTGGCCGAAAGGCACTCAAATTTAGATCAGTGACAGAGGGGAGAGAGTGACGGGTTGAAGTTGGCAATAGGGGATTTTGGTGGTGATTTCAGGTGAATGGTGACAATTTGCAGCAGCTAGAGGTGTCGTTGAGAATACGAAATGATTCTGGGAGGTACCTAGAATGGCCATTCCTGAGGTTGAGGACGATGGGAATTCATAGACTTGCATGGGAAGATTTGTCCATGAGAGCTCTTTCTTTATTTAAATTGACTTACCATAAGCAAGAAAAATTATAACTTAAATAGCTTATATTCCTCAAATATGTTTTCTTTTTGAATACACAATCTTCTAACCTGGATGTGGTTCCTCATTCTTGCTGGCTGCAAATTTTTTCCCTTGTAGAAGCAAACAATTTCCTCGTGTAGTAAATACATGAAAGCTATAACGTTTTGTTTGGTATACAACTTAACATTTTGAATTTGGTCACCATTTCTACCTTGAAGTGGTGAAGATTGGGCGAAGGTTTTAATTATTTGCTATTGCATACCGTGGATTATTCTCTCTCTGTGGTCCGTTCATTTGTTTTTGCTTTTTCACAAACATTGCCCTCTTGCCTTAAATGATTGTTTTTGCTTCGCATTTTCTTCCACATGGAAGCTGACTGATGTAAAGAATCTCCCACTGATACTTTTGCTTTCTTGTAGCATGCTACTGGCCCTGCAAATCAGATGGTAGATCAAGAAGCTGCAATCATAATGGAAGATAACCAAACACTCCGTGCTAAGTAAGCATATCGTTGATGCACTGTACTCACTTATCATGCTTATGAGCATGCTAAGCATGTTTGGCTAAGCCTAAAAGAAAGTGACTTTTTCTCTCCAAACATGTTTGGATAACTTACGTTTTTATGTTTTTTATGAGTAACTCTAGCATATCCATCCTGAATTTGTCCATGTTATGGACCGAGTCTTCTATTAGTCCTTCCTTACACAGCCATCTTTCGTCTGTATTTCAGATGCCAGGAGTACGAAAAGAGGGAGGAAGAACTCAATGAGAAGGTATTTCAAACCACTGACCGTGCTTGAATATTTGGAGTCTAGACAAATTTTGAAAAGTTCTCAGTTCAATGATGTATTGGAGCATGTTATAATAAGATAAAAGAGATTTGCTTAACTAAGCCAAATTAATTTCTAATCACTATACTCTAATCACTATACCCGAGTTAGAGAGTCCATAAATGTTTACTGGAAGTTTTGTTTTATACCACTTGAAACCCTCAACATTTTGTGATCGTGTCTGCAGGTGAATCGTCTGAGGAAGGAGATAAAGGATGCACAACACGAGTATGCTCGATTACTGGTTGAGTCGAAATTATTGGAGAAAGTTAAACGAGAAAATAAGAAGTAACTTAGACTAGTCGTGCTTCTCATTCTTCCTTTGTAAATGATTGTGTTTTCCTCGCTTGAAATGCTGTTTTGGTTTACCTTTCCTGTCTAGGAAATTCTGCTGAGAAACGCACATGGTTTTTTTTTTGCTGGGTACTCGGGTTTCCAATAGGTTCAAACGAACTGAAAATATCTTTCTTATCATAGTAGGGTCGGTGTAGCCAGATTGTAGGGATGGCAATGTCTCAACTCAGTCTAGTACCGGCCATGCCCCGTCCAAATGAGGTGGAAATGGGGAATATGTTTCCAGTGTTGATTAGTTCAAGTTTTTAAACTTAAATTGTATATAAGGGGAAAAAAAAAAAAAAAAAAAAGGAAGGTGCGAGTGGGGGGAATGGGGACCGGTCGGTTCAATAAATAAACTCAAATAGCTAAAAAAGGCAAATGGAACTAGTTGGTGGACTGTTCTATTGTACTCTAGCTTCAAACCGACCGTTACGAAAAAAGTGAGGGTCACATTTGAGAGAAGATGTCAAAAATTACGGTTGGAATGGTAAAATAATTGTTAAATAGATTTTTTGGAGTGAAAAAAGGGTCCAAATATTTCATTAATTTTGATTAAAATATACTAAAAAAATATATTAATTTTTAACGAAACCACTCTAGCTTCAAACCGACCGTTAGGAAAAAAGTGAGGGTCACATTAGAGAGAAGATGTCAAAAATTACGGTTGGAATAGTAAAATAATGGTTAAATAGATTTTTTGGAGTGAAAAAAGGGTCCAAATATTTCATTAATTTTGATTAAAATATACTAAAAAAATATATTAATTTTTAACGAAACCAAGGGGTCTTCAATTTGATCATGCAGTTTTTACTTCCGGTAGGAAGCGGAAAGGATAAAAATGAGTTCTTGTTTTAAGGATGATTACCATTGGAAATTTATTTTGCAGTCACCATATTTTTTTTGACAGTCATTTTGCTTATTTATTATCATCTTTTTTTGTTGCCAAACTTAGGGGTGTGTGTTTTTTCCCTTGGAAGCAGTGGAATTGGACCAGAACCAAATAGAACCAATCGGTTAGGTTTAGTTCTTTTACTAAATGGGTCAACTCTAGGATCGCAAGTTGAGAACCAATCGATTTTGATCTGATTCATGGTATTATCTTGAGATCCAATAGCGAATTCAATCCTTCAGAATCTCTCTTTTTGCTTGCTTCAAGATGCATTATATCTTTGAGCGTTAAACTTTAAAATTATTTTAAGTTAAAACTTCATTTTCTATACGCTTCTTTTTTTCTTTTTTTCCTTTTTTTTTATGGGTAATCAAAATTAAAATCTAAATAATTTTAAAAATTCTTTAAAAATTCATAGTTTTAATGCAACCTAATAAAAAATATATTTTTAGTTCAATATTTCACAAGAATACACATTTTTCATTGTTTTCAAAGTGATCGGCAATTAAGCACCAAAAGCCTAAAAGATTACTAAAGATAATCAATTTATTGTTATATACATTTTCGTGAGAATTAATTTTCGATCAAAATTTTACCATTTATGTTATGTTCCATAATTTATTCATTTTTCGCCTTTCGAATTGATCTTGAGCTTTGGAGTGATTTTTCTTTTGTTGCCATGTTTAGTTAATTTTTTGTATTATTAAATTATAAGAATGACAAGTGACTTCATACTTTATTTTTATATTCGGTTCGTTTCCCTTTAGAATTGAATCAAATCAGCCCATGCCCACTCCTAACCAAACTTACATTTGGAAGCAAAATATATGTTTTTATATCAAAGATATTAAAATTAAATTCGTACAAACCAGCATAAAGATAGTATCCGTCATCAAAATTCAGAATTTCAGTAATCGGAACAAAATGGCATCCAATGTTTATCCAAAATCTCAACACTGAACGATAACAAATATGACAAATAAAAGGAGCAAACTATTACACTGAGGTCGATTTTCTGACTTAAGCGCGGACTCCTCGGTTGAGGTTAACCATCCTGGTCGACGTATCCACCTGATTTCCCCTCACAGAAGAACCAGAGTGGAACATTCGGCCAGGCCCATCTTGATATCTTGAGTTCTGGTAGCCACCAGATCGTGACTGACCCATCCGATCCCTTGAAAAGTTTCCGGCTTGACCGGAAGCTGATGATCGGCCACCACCATATCCCGTTCTTCCACCGCTGCTGCCTAGGCGGCCCTGTTGGAAGGAAAATTCTTGCCACTTACCACCAGTGCCTGAAACAGCTGCCGCAGCATAGTCCTGCCCGTCCTTGCGCCTGAGAGGAAGACCGTCCAATCCTCCACCACCAATCCGTGCCTCGATTGCTCTCTCATTAGTTTCTGCGAGAATTGTGAGCTTTTCTGTCAACTGAAATGCTAAAGCCTGCAATCTACTGTGCTCGACTGCATGGAAGACGATGCAACTGGTTGGTTGGTCCCAACTTGCATGGAGCTCCTCGTTGATAATCATCTTGCTCACGATGCTATGAGTTTGAGAATCAGAAATGTCAAACAACCTGGCGAGGTGGTCTAAGCTCAGGGAATCATAAGAGGATGAATATGTAAAAAGGTAGGTCCTTAGAGCCTCTTCCTTAATTTTAGCCTTGAGCATCTCGAGAACATTATCTTTATTCCGAAGCAACCTCCAGACATCAAGGGATTTTATAACTTCGAAAGCACTACTAAAATCTCCCTGCCTCAGGGCCCTTGTGGCTGCCATTACATGGTCCCTGACAGTTTCAGGAGGGCCAGTGTAAGTTTGTCTCTCACTTGCTTCGAGCAACCTTCGGAAGGTCTTGCTTATGACCTTACGTTTGGCATCATGGCTATTGGCTGCCATGTTGGGGACCTCCAGCAACATGGCACATATCAGATGAACCGCCTCGAGAAGTTCAAGATTTATATGCATGTGGTAAGGCATTTGTCGCCTCCTCTCCAGCCGTTCCTAAAAATTTTCAATCATTTACAACCATAAGTGCTCCTGATAACACATTGAAAAGCTACAGATACACTTCCACAAGGATGCTAATATTTATACAAATGTAACATCAACCAACTTCAGTCCATCTCAAGATAGGTGAGGGACAAAAGCAGCTTTTGGCTTTTCAAAAGCCATGCCAAACAGGCTCTAAGTGTCCCCAGAAAATGAAAAAGAATCACAAAGCATATGTAAAATAACATCAAAAAATCATAGACAAAAGGGATCTCATTGGCAAATGTGTTGACAATTCTAAATCACTGAAGAACGTTTAATTTTATTTAATTCAACATGTTTTTTAATTTTTATTATATTACTTTAAAATAGCCATTACTCGTTAGTAGACGTGAAAGGCAGGAGGAGGAGTGATTAGAATGTGTTTGTAGCCGCAAAGGTGCATGTAACCTAAAATAACATCACAAAATCATAGACAAAAGGGATCTCATTGGCAAATGTGTTGACAATTCTAAATCACTGACCTTGGAATATACTAGAAATCAGGAAGAAAACTAGAGTGTATAATAAGTAAAAAGTAATACCTGTTCTGGAGACTTCTCATGATATCTGCTTTGGGAGAAACCTTGGGCGAGCAACTCCTTCACCCTGCCAGCAGAATACAGTTCTGCGAGGCAACTATGGCCCTCAGCAGTAAGTCCCATCCTAAATGCAGAGAGACCGAGCTGTGCCATAGCCCTGTTGAAAAGTATTTGGGTAGAAATATCCATGTGCTGAATATTATCCTGTAGGTGACTCATGAGCAACAAGTCTCGAGATATCGCAAATTCATCAAAGATGGCATGGTGATATATATCGCAAAGCATTGCACGAGCCTTAGTCCTCTCATCACCGTACTTGTATATCAGTGAAACAAGGATGTCCATTAAGGTCCTACTGTTCTCTGGAAAGGTAGGTTTCCGAGGCACCAACTCGGGAGTTACAACAGCGGCAGGTGGGCCCCTACTTTCCTCGACAGCTTTTGTTTCCTCTCCAGTTTCTGTTTCTTTATCATCTGATTGCTCAGCCAATTTCCTCATAGCATCATACACCTCCTGTGGTTTATAATATATGAGCTCAACCCGCTTCAGAGCTACCTTTGAAGCACCCTTGTAATTCCCAACCCCTTCCAGATATTCCTGGACATTCTGAGCAAGAACTAGGAACATGGGCTCATCCCTAAGCCTATCAACATATTCACGCGTGTGTGGATCAATAACCTGAAGGCTCTTAAAAAATTCCACATCTATCTTTTCAAGGAATGCTACCAAATTTCCCCAAATCTGAATAGTTCCATCGAAGTCAGCACCCTTTTGGGTCTCATTCTCATCAGGCTCCACCATATCATCAACCACAATATTTGGGTACTTAGTTAAAATATCAAGTATGGCAAGCATATTCTGCACACACTGTTTCCAAACATTGATTGGCATGTGCCCACTCAAACTTGTATTAACATCGAACTGCGCAGAAACAACACTGAAGAGAATTTCAAGTTTCTGAGCAGGGGTTTTAGCAACCCTCGTCAAGAAAGTGAGCTGCTCAACCAACTCAATTCTTCCAGTCCCCTTCCTACCCCTAGCAGCTACAATCTCCTTGAACTTCTTATTGACAGTTTCCCAAGTAATTTGGCTAGGATCCTTGAACTGCTTATCCATGAGCTTATCTTTCTTACTCAACATCTTCTCCCAACCAGACCCAGTCTCAGCTGCATCCATTTCCATTTCTTCTTCATCCTCACTCTCCTCAGATTCCCGGTTCAAAAGGTCCACATCGTCAAGGTCTGAACCTACCTCATCATCCTCTTCGTCCTCATCTTGTTCATCCTCTTCTTTTTCCTCAAAAAGGTCTGGATTCTCCCTGTACTTGTTAATCAAATCCTCATACTGCTTATTGTTCTTCTTAAGCTTCTGCTTCATCGAATTCAAGGCCTTAGCATTACTACTGCTCATCTTTTTCTTTGCCTCCTTATTGGCCAATGCCTGATTTAAGAAATCCTCCAACATCACAAGAGACTTTATATAAAGGTTTGGAACTCTATCAGACTCCGTGACCCTCATGACCTTCTCCAGCTGTTTATTGATCTTGTCAAAACTCTCTTGCAGGCTCACCCAGTCATTGATCTTCATAGCATTTTTCATCTGATCAACAGTGGCAGCCAGCTCCTCAAATCGCTTGTCCTTAGCAGATCTTACAACACGCTTCTGCCCATCCGAGTCATCACTATCACTAGCTTCAGTCTGGAGATACTTGCTGCCACCACCTACAGGTGCAGGTGTCTCCACTGGTCCTTCTTCCTGCTCATCATAATCACTGCTCTCCTCCTCGGTCTCACTATCACCCTAAAATCCCAGAACTTCAACAAGTAAATGCAAGCACACAGAGACACATACTCGTCTACACTAACCACACCGAGCTATCTCCAAGACGTAAAATTTAGTCGCATTTCATTTTCAAATGCCTTCTTTATTTACGGTAGAAATTGGCACGTAATTAAAATTGAAGAAAATTATTTTCTATTGGATAATTAAAAATGAAAACAAATTCATATCCACATTCATAATTAAATCCGAGAAAAAGACAATAAAAATTAAGGCAAACATATATAAACATGGATCAATAAAAACTCAGATCTGGTAAACTTAGAAACTGGATAAATTTTAATCTGGCAAGAGATTAAATATTTTTAAACTAAATAATCCCAAATAAGCAAAAATAACCCTAATATAAACAGAAAGAAAAACAAACCTGAGTCCAAAATCTCGACGCCATTTATCGACAATAGCAATTACCAATCTGCACCAAAATATAACCAAAACATATAATTACATACATCGAATTCGAAACAACTTCAAAACCAAAACCAAATCTTAGCAACAGTTCTAATTAAAACATCAAAATCAGATCCATGAACCTAACCATTCACCAAAAACTATTAAAACAAGATTTCACCTAATTACATATGGCCAGAGAAATCGAACCTCAATTGAGACCCGCAGCTTGCAGAGAATATATGAACGATTGACACGGAAATGCAAATTTAGTGGGGTTTTGAACGAAACCCTAATCGCTATTTATAGTGATACGCGGATGAAAAATTGACGGTTAGGATTGAATATCTGTGTAATACGGTTTGGGTCGTTTTTCACGGGTTCGATTCGAATTGTGTGTCGGCCCATACAAGATTTTGGTTTTTATTTCACCCATTACATTACTTGATTTTTTGAAACATATTAAGCCCCGAGCTCCAATATTTAAAATTATAATGAAATGAATAATAATTTCTTAAAAAATGTATGATTAAAAAGGAAGAAAAAGTTTCAAGATTTATGTGTAATATTATTTTATTGAAAAATGTATGATTAATATAAAAAGAGAAAAAATAAATTTTAATTTAATGGAGCCAATCACAGGCTAAGTTATTTAGGTTGTTTCATGTATTTTAATTGCCGCATTTATACTATATTATTAACTTTTTTCATTGAATCATTGTCTTTCAACTTTCAATAATGGAAAATGCTTCTCACAGAGGTTTTACAGGGAACACACACAGGGTGAATTTTTTATTGAGATGGGCCCCACAAATGTGTGTATTCTATGAAATGTCTGTATGTTTCTCCTATGTAAGTGTGGCACTATTGTTCAATAATTAGCACAACCTGTCTATATCCCATCCACTAACCTGTTAGGAGATTGTAAAAAGACTTAGCCATCCCACATATTTTTAAATAAGAGAAATAACAAATAAAAAATTAATGGTCAGAAACTGTTACGTGCTAATTAATTGAAGATTAATTTACGAAAGAGAAGGAAAAATTGAGTACACAAGTCTAACATTAAACAAAGATTGAAAATCCTCAATACAATTACAATGTGGTCCAAAAAACAAAAATCTTGGTGCAAATACAATTACCAAGTTGATTTAGAGCGATATTCAAATAAAATTTATTATTATTCTAATACCTTTCCAAGAAGACTCAATTTGATCGACAAAGTCACCTTAAGCATTAAAATGCTTCTGGTTGTCACTCCTTTCGACGATCAAGCATTCTATTATTTACTTTTAAGCTAAAGATCCATTCTAATACTCTATCCTAAAGTTATCAGTATTTATCAAATCTGTTCCTATCTAACGGAATGCTATTGGATCAAATGACAAAGACATTGTTGAGAAAAAGATGGGATTCAATATCGATGAATCTAGAAAAGAGGGTTGAGAGTTGGAACGAACGTATAACAAGAATTCTTGGAATGCCGTGGGGCTTCTTGATTGGTGTTGAGCTAACTATAGTGCAACAAAACTTTTTACTCATGATCTGCGTGTAGCCAAAAATTAAAAAAAAAAAAAAAAAAAAGAGTTTCAATAAAAAAAAAAAAAAAAAAAAAAAAAGAGTTTCAATTCTAAAGTAGCAAATAATGGTTAATTATTTCAAATTTTGCAGTTTAAGTATCTCCCAAAAACCAAACAAAATAACATGATACTAAAGTTTCCAATGAGAATAGCAGTAAAAGCAAACAAGAGGAGAAAAACTGAAAGCCTTTCTTCACCACAAAAGTTACATATAAATGTGTATACTCGTTGATATTAATACAATCAGATATATATCTATCGCCATGGATCAAAATAAACAACAGCAACTGGAGATGGAAATGCTCAGAATTCATTCGAAAAAATGAATTTTTAAAAAATTTGACGACCTCCACATGTTCCTCAGTGTCCTCTAAATGCTCCAGCAGTGTTCATCAATTTCTGCCCGTCTGAAAATTTTCACTAAAAGAAGGTACCCCGAAGAAAAATCCCAATTTCTAGTACTCAAAGAGTTAAATTAAATTTGCTCTCTTCAAAAACCTGATCATTCTGCAATAATATGGCCATATGGATTCCACGTAGTCCAGGTACTTTTCCATTAACCAGCCTCTCAAATCTTTCAATTTTCTTCTGGTCACCTCTTTATAATCCATGTTTTTGATATCCACCAGAGGTTTCCATGTATGTGCTAATATGTCTTCTTTAAGTTTCCCACAAACAAGATAATTATAAGCGATCAGGCAGTATTTAGGAAGGTTCTTGATTACCTTGACAGTCTGCTTGAAGCTGAATACATAGAGGCCAAATATGCCCCGAAAAATCGTAACATAGAGAGCAACGATCAATGGTCCAAGAACCCATAAAGGAGTCAATTCTTTTGAAACCTCAGCTCCATATGCCAGGCTAATTGCTAGGTACAGAGGGACACTGCAAATATGCAAGAGAGAGAGAGAGAGAGAGAGAGAGAGAGAGAGAGATCATCAGTAATTCTTATTTTATAAAAGCTAAAAGCCGCATCTGAGGCTAAGAAGCTGCTTCTAGATCTATTTGGAAAATATTCTAGAAGTATTTTATCTAGTTAAAATAACTTTTAGAGGGAGTTGACCCGAGATGACGTCTACAAAAAGTAGAAGCCCAGCCAAACAGGCCCTACACATCATCATATTCGAGCATGTTGGGCTATCAACAAGATACACGTTTTAGAAATAAGGATGAGATGATAAATAACTAAAATCAAATTTTGGAAGAGGAAGCTGCTTAGGACAGATATGTTCACTACAACATATGATAACATGGTTTAGAAAAAAGAATATAAATTGACTAAATTCACAATAAAATAGCCCTCAAAATCCAAATTAATAGACTAAGATAAAATCATCAACCTCTAATATAGACATAAAATTTAAATCTAAACTCTGTAAATATTTGCAAACAACTAGTGGGATTGGTTGGAATGAAGAACCAAAGATGAAATGAAGCCCCATCAAAACTAACTCTTTCACGCTTCTAGAAAACATTCTGATCTTTGATTCTGCAAAGCAAGAAAAGCATGTATGGGCAAGCAACTAGCACACCTCCAGCCCACGAGCACATACACACAGATAGAGAGAGAGAGAGGTAATAATGAAAATTCATACTTACAATATCAGTAAAGGTAACTTTACGGTAACATCAAGACCCAGAAAGTAGCACCAAATCGCCTTTAAGGTTTCACTTTTTTCTTGCTTTTGTACTGCATTACGCGTCTCTGGTGTTTCTGCCAAAGAAGGTTCTTCAAGAATTTCGTCCACTGGTTGGTTTTGTGCTGGTGTGCGCAACAACATTAACCAGTTCTTAAACAATGTTTGAATAGCCAGCAACTTGGCTGTTTTCTCGTCTGCTGTTGACGTGTAAGGAACACAAACGATATTCTGAACCTTTGATGATTCTGCTGAGGATTCTTCACTCTCCTGTTGTACATAAGAAACCTTAACAGGATTCTTCGGGGACTTTTTCCCACTGACTCTATGGCCAGATTCTTCATCTCGATTGCTTCCTCTGAAAGCTGACACCTTACATAATTTTGCCTTTGGGCAAAGGACAAGAGGAGCTCCTGTGCTGAAAACAATTTATTTGATCACTTTCAGTTATGAAATAGCATCTGTAAAAAACTGACACCGAACAGACTTTAAGCAAGTCATGTGAAATTCACTCCTCGAGATTCTGGCCCATACAGTTAGTATGAGAAAAAAGGCGTCCACATTTATTCGAAAAAGGCAGATATCAGAAAATTAATTGAAAATGATTGATCGCATTTAAGTCTTGATCACATAATTATCTTTATGGTGAAAGTTAAGAACACTTGGAAGTTTTGAAACATATAATGCTGCAGGATTAACATCCATTCTCTAGACAAAGCATTACAACCAGGATATCTTTTTCCAGCCTGTCTCTCCAAGTCTGCTTAATAACAAGAGGCGGTAACAAGAGAATTTGCCAGAAGGTTATCTGGTAGGCTAAATGACATAAATGGAAAATCATTTCTACCCCGTTATTCACTGTTAACAGCATTCCACCAAATATATGCATATGTATATGTATATAATGTTCTTCTCCACCATAAATATCTGAAACACTAACTTCATTATCAAAGAAGAGTATTAGGTTATGATATCACTTTGATTCTTAATCCAATCCTTCAAAGGAACCAATCAATAGAAAAAAACCCATACAACATTGTCAGCATATCCATTCAATCCTCTACCATTTCCATTCCAGTCTAGTATTCAAGACGAAGTTTAAGAACAATTGATATTCTTCGTATGCCTCCTTGCAACCAAATTTAAGGTATAGTCATGACAAAGAAATAGAGTAAAGCATAAATTTGAAAGAAACAACATTCAATTTTTTCCCCGAACAACTTTGATTAGTAACATTCAACAGAAATCCTCCTTAAAGATCCTGAAATGAGATATCCTCATTTTATTTAACTTATTTAAACTCTCAAGAGATGGAATTGTTGGTCAATACATATAAAATGGGTGCGTAATTATTTAACTATGCATAGACATACCAAATATATGCACTAATACAAATTACACACACACAAAAGTTTAACACTCACCTAAAACAAGATTTGTATTTCAGAGAAAACAAACTACATTTTTGCTTAATTTCAAGATGTGCCGGTACAAAACGTTTTAGCTTGCTTCCACTGCTCCATGATGAACGCCCTGATGGGAAAGAGCTACAAGAACCCTGAACAAAACAAGATTTATTACATATTCCATTCTGCAAAACAGAACCCCTTGGAGCTAAAAAGGAGAGTAGAACATAAAACTGATGAAACTGAGAATACAAAATGATGTAGTGATACATATTAGTATCAGACAGGCTTTAGTATCACCGTGTCATCATGAATATCAAGACATTCAAATGTTCTAGACATCAAGATTACATCCAATGCATCACATACAGGATTTTCCACAAATTTGCGTGCATTTCTTGCAATTTTTATCTCTTGAAAGCTGGAACACGTACCTTTTTCATCAATGGAGTAATTATCTATTCATATTAATTCATGTGTATGGATTCTCTTAAAAGTTCATATTACAATGGAGCTGAAAATCAGATAGTTGACGGTTTTTCTTAAAATACTTGAGGAGTAACTTAAAAACTTAACCACTTTTGTCAACAGAAAAATGCCTCTAGTGACTGGGTAAAATTACAAATATATACGTTTTTCTCCTCCTTCCAGCTCCCTCGCTCTCCCAAGATCCAAGACTTTGTAAAGCCAATTACTTCAATAATTCCGCATCTAGCCTTTCCAGATTCTATCTTCACCACCAACTCGCCGCACCCGAAATCATTTAGAATGGAAGCACCAAAAAATTGCAAATCAACCAGTAACATATCCTCTAACACCATCTAACCACCCCACCACTGTGAGGCCCCCCGCCCCCCCGAATAAATAAATAAATAAATAAAAATAAAAATGCACATCATGCTATCGCTACTCTCATCATCACAGCCGCACATACTTTTTTTTATAAGCATATAACCAAAACCAAGAGAACTTTATAATATTCTTTATGCACCCTGCACCCACTATTCATTAGCTGTTGTAGATAACAATATTAGTATGTTGGAAATAACGATACCACCCAGCATCACAAATTTGAAACTTCTTATGAGAACTGAATTTTATTTGAAACTTATAGAACTGTTAAACATGGAAATGCACTAACCCTATACATCAAACTTCCTTCAAAATTAAAAATACCTGCAACTGATGGGTAGCCAATACCATCATCTACGCCTGCTCATTTAGCCAACTAAATGTGTATTTCCACGTACATCTGTATTCCTTACAAGTAAATTAAAAAGAAACGAAATCAAACTCCACCTCCAGCGCCGACATAACACATAGCAATTTTTAAATAAAATTCAAAATTACTAAAGTAAGCATAATGTCATGAGAAATAATATCAATAAAAATAAAAATAACCAATCCTTATCAATTGCTAAGTGATTTCTCCAAATGCGCTCAATTCAAATACGAAAACAGAATTCTTGTAATTAACGATATTACTTACCAGATTTCATTTTATTACACAGAATTTATTAATTAAAAACACTGGGTTAATTCCCAATAACCCAAATCACAGAAATTAATAAAAATGAGCACAAACACCCACATACATGAATGAATTTATCGAGGAAAAATGAGGAGAAGCTCACGAGAAATTCATATGTGAATTCGCTTTATTTTAACGTAGCAATTTGTGTAAGTGTATCTGCAAGAATGGGTCGTACGGCGAATTTTATCCCAATCTTAATTTCTTTTAGATAGAATTTTCAGAAAGAGGATATTTGAATAGGGTGGGAGAGGATAAAATAGTGAAATTAGGGTTTTCCTTTTCAAATGGACTTTATTTTTTATTTTCCCATTAAATTTCTATCTAGTAATAGTATGAGTATTTTTTGAGTTAATTAATCTCTGTTTGACAACTAGTATTTGAGAAAAATAAAGTTTAAATAATAATTTTTAGGAGAATATACGTTTAAAAAATTAAAAAAAAAAATTAAATTTATGTACAAAATGTTTTATTGTGTGAACGTGTAATTGAAAATAATTAGGTCAAAAAAAATGAAAATAATAGATATGAAACAGAGTCTAAATAAGTAATCATCCTATTCTATCTTTGATTAATTGTTCACTCACTTTTATACACTATTATTTATCTATCGTCCATCAAAATTTCATTCGGCCATCTGGACAAAAAAATCCATGCGACAAATATGAGTAAGGTAAAAGCCCAAGATTAGCTAACCAAGAGGGTAGGTGAATTGGTTATAGTAACTTTTTCGAAAAATAGTTTCAAGTATACAATTAATGCTCACTTAAATGTAACAATTAATCAAATATTCATAAATAGAAAAAGAACGAAGACTAGGATAAAATCACAAGTAATAAATAAAAATAAAGATAAGTCAAATGATATGATATGGAAGTTGGATCCAATGCAATGATCTACGTCCCTCGTTATCAAGCTCTCCATCACGAGTAAGACTTTTTTACTATATTGATTGACTTATGGTGCAATCAAACCTTCTCACAATACTTTCGATGACTTACAACCAAAGAGCACCGTTCCTTTTACAATGCTGAGATTTTCGGGGTTTCAACTCGACCCCACAAGTTTGAAAATAAGGAATATATAAGTAAAGACTTTTATTGCAATGAATGATGTAATTGAAATTGAGTACAATAAGAGAAAATGGCTAACACTTTAGTAGATAGCAATGATTGAAACTCAATTGTTAGATAAGAAAAACTTTGATAAAGTGATTTTCAAAGGTTAAATCAATCAAAAGTTTTTCTAATATAAAGGAGTTGAAAAGAAAGACATAGAAGATTGATTGAGTAGATAGATTAGTAATATCTCACTTTAATGCTCATAAAAATCTATCTTTGAATGCAAAATGATATGGTATTTATAGCAGCAAAATTGTCAAAAGTTATGTCATACCGGACGTCCGCTAGCTTATCGGACGGTCAAATAATCGTTTTTTGTTCAGAAGTCAGAACGTTCAATTTCTTGACCGTTGGACAAATTTGCCATACCGGACGTTCGTTAGACCTGCCAGATGTGTCCTCTAGCTACCGAATGCATCCTCTAGGTTAGTTCCTGTTTGGTAATTAGAAATTTTCCTTCTTTAAATATTTTAACAAGATGTAATCTCACGAAAGATGTTTCTAACATGTTTTATGGACTTTTTGACATTTCTTAAAGTATAACAAGTTCATGCTTTAAGAAAAAATTCTTTATGCAAAAATCGTGCTTATCGTGCGAATAAACGTTTTTTGAGCTTCAAATGACATATTTGCTAAATACTAAAGTGTTTTACCTTAACATTTGAAATCAAGGTGTATAAATCTAATTTCTTCTTTGTTTGACTTGATGAAGTGCTCGATGTCTTGATGAGTAACTCGCCTTCTACTTTGTCCAATTTGAAAAACTTCGAAAGCATCCTTTTGTTAACGCTTGTCATAACTTCTATAATTACTCAAAAAAAATTGTTAAACATAATTTGTTTATTATAATCAAAACGAGAAATCAACCATAGGTCAACATAAAAACGAGTGGGAAAATCCAAGCTAACACAGATGCGAAGCATTTCACACATTTACTTAAGCAGGACAAGCTCGATGAGCTTGCAGGCAGGTGTTTTAAAATCATTAAGTGAAGATGTTGTCTCATCATCAAAAATGATGATAAACAAAAAGTTTAATAATTGAAAGAAAAGTATCTTGGGGATCCTAGTTTTTTATAGAATTTTATTATTAATAAGTTTAATTTAGTTAGATTTATAATTCATGCTTCATGAATTATTATTATTATTATTATTATTATTATTATTATTATTATTATTATTATTATTATTATTATTATTATTATTTTAATTGAAGGCCGCTTCTGTGCTATAAATGAATACTTTACAAAAAGAACTATTATATAAAGTTTGGTTGAGTTTCAACATATCAAAATGTAAGTATTTACCATATGTGCTCAATTTCATCAATTTGCATAGCAACATTAATAATAAGGGTAATTAGCACAATTTTTTTTTTATTTTTCAATGTTATTGTGCAAAACATCTGTACCTTTCATTTTTTTGGTATTTTTACACATATTTTCATTTTTTTTATTGTGGAAAAGATCATTTTTACCAAATTTCTCAATAAAAAATGTAAAATGACAAATATACCCTCATATTTAATTTTTAAAAAAAATAAAATTAAAGAACAAATTGCAATTATACTCCCAAACTTTTTTAAAACTGTAAATGAGTCCAAATAAATTATTAAAGTGTAATTAGCACAAAACACAATACATTTCAATATTATAATGCAAGATGTCCCTACCTGTCATATTTTGCCATTTTCATATTTGCGAAAATCATTCTTTTCATCTATTTTCTCAATAAAACTATAAAATGGCGAATATACCCAACTATTTAAATAAAACAAAAATAAATAATAAATTGCAACTATGCTTCCAAATTTTTCAAAAAAATATAAATAAATTCCAAATAAATAATTGAAAAAAAGCAAGTGATTTTATTTTTCACTTTTTTGTTTTAATTATTTATTTGAAATTTATTTGCACTTTTTATGAAAATTTTGGAGTATAGTTGTAATTTGTTATTTATTTTTCTTTTCTTTATATTTGTTTTATTTGAATAGGAAGATATATTCTTCATTTTACGTATTTTTAATTGAAAAAATGGATGAAAATGATGATTTTCGAAATGAAATATTAAAATAAGGGTGAAAATGCTAAAAAATAAAAGGTATGGACGTTTTATACAATAACATTAAAATTTAAGGACGTTTTGTGCTAATTACTATTTTCATAATTTATTTGGAGTTAATTTTGTAGTTTTTAAAAAAGTTTGGAAGTATAATTACAATTTAATTTTAAAATTTTTCTTTTTCTTATTTAAAATAGGAGGAGGACATATTTATCATTTATATTTTTTATTGAGAAATTGGATGAAAATGACATTTTTGCAATGAAAGGTGAAAATAAGGGTGGAAATGTCAAGAAATGAAATGTTAAGACATTTTACACAATAACATTAAAACTTAAAGATATTTTGTGCTAATTATCCTTAATAATAATACAAACGTTTCATATAAGGTACCTACATAAAAGTTGAAAAAGGTTTGGAATCTTTCTTCAACTCTTCAATCTTGAAAACTAAATTTATTGGATGACAAATATGTAAAATAAAGTAAGAAAAAATCATATGGGCAAATGAATTTGAGATCAATGAGTAATTTTGTATAAAAGTGAATGAGCAATTGGTAGTAATACTTTATTATTAAGTAAACAATCAACTCTCTTTGTCACATAGAATTTTAATTCGTCACGTGAATTTTTTTAGAATTGAGATGGATGATTGACTAATTACGTTGTGTAAAAATGAGTAAATAACTTAAGTTTATAGTTCTAATGGTCACTGAACTTAGGCATATGTCTTTAATTAGTCATTGAAGTTTAAAATATCAAGTTTTTGTCATTAAACTTAAGTCAATATATTCGATTGCTCATTGAATTTAGATCAATGTCTTAGATTGCTCACTGAAATTTAAAATATCAAGTTTTGGTTATTGAACTTTGGAATATGTCATACGTTACTCACTAGCATAACTGTTGAATTTTGAAAAATATCGAGTTTACAGTGAGTAATGTACAGCATTTCTTAAAGTTCAATGAGTAATGTACAATATTTTTCAAAATTTAATGACCAAAACTCGACATTTAATTTTAATGAGCAAACGAAGACATGAACCTAAATTCAATGATCAAAACTCGATATTTTAAATTTTGGTGACTAATCTAAGATATGGACATAAGTTTAGTGATTATTGAAACAATTAACTCAAATAACTTACAACATTTTTGAGTGAGCCAAGTGCTAATTAAAGGTAAAATACTGATGATTGCTCATTTTATTAAGTCAATTTTTTTTGGGAGATTTGTAGTCCAATAAACTCATTCCATACACATACTAAATTCAAATTTTATAAACTTTTGTAGATTAAGTTAGATTAATTAAAAATCACAAATTACTTTTGTTTGCTCAATTTGAATCAAAATAAAGAATAGTATACTACAATTGAATTTTATTCATCGTGGGACGGTACCCGTACTCATGTGGGATAGGACACGTTACTCAATTTTAATCGTTCATCATACTTTAATTTGTCGAGATTTGACCACTAAATTTCTGAAAGTCTTCATTTCTGGTTCTGGTGTCTAATGGAATAATTGATTTGGCAGACAATTTTCACATGTGGTGCCCCTTCATTGTTTGAATGTCCAATCATGAAGAAGAAAAATAAGCAACTATACTTTAAGTTGGAGTCACTAAAATTCTCGAAGTGACAGTTTTCGGGGTTGAAAATTTTATGGCAATTCAATATGAGGCTCTTTTTTTCTTTTTTGAATAAATGTGCAACAGAGCAATACTTATAAAATATAAATTTGAAAATGAGACATTAATCTAAGGGGCACACACCCTTATTTGAATACACCTATCCACGGTAGAAACTCGAGCAAATTGGACAATTATTGCAAGCAATTTAGAATTTATGCATCCAATTTCATTCATTACCTATTTAATATTTAAAACCGGGTTATCTCAATGGCTACCTAATTTTATATTTAACGTCGTCATGGTCACCTAATTTGATTTTATTTCACCATGACCACTCAATTTGATTTCATTTTATCATGATCGCCCAAATTCATATAATGTTTCACCATGGCTACCTAACTTCATATAACATTTCACAATTAGCATCTAATTTCTTTTCACCAT